AGCCTGCTTTTTTACTGTGGTTCCACAAAATCGAATGATAAGCTTAAACTGCTCTCAGCCTTAGAAAATGCACATAGATTCTAATTTCTAACATACAGCATATCCTTTGAAAAAGTCTTCCAACATTCAGCTTAATTGGGTATATTTGTATCAGTCCCCTATTACAGGTGTGGCAATGAACTGCAGACTTGGAGAGATACAAACATAAGTAAAACAGTCAGTGAGCACAGTGTAATTTGAGATGGACATTGGCAAAACAGCTCTAATCCTGGGCAGACTAGCAGTGTAGTGGAGGTTGTTTTCGGCTGAAAGATCTGTAAGAATTTTTGTACAGTGTGACATTTAGACCTGCGTCTTAAAGTTGGTTCCACTTTTTCTGAGACAAGTTGAAGAATGCTTTGCCAATGTCATCTCAATAATCTTTAATATTTATGGAGCATACTATGGCTCCCATTATTAAAGAAAGTGAAAGTGTTAGTCGCTCAGTCATGTCCAACTCTTTGCGAAGCTAAATCTTGTTTTCCCAACTTGAAACAGTGTGTGTGTGTGTTAGATTAACACACATATGGGCTCTCCTTTATCAAACTGTCTCTGCTTAATCAGTAGTGATGGGAACAAGACCGTAGAAAACTTGCAGAATTGTTGGGGTCCTTTAATGGACCAGAACCTGGTGGTCTGGAGTCGACGATAAGAAAGTGAAAGAAGGAAAGAGGCTAATATTCCCTGGGTTTTGCAGCAGGCCTCCGCGCTCCAGGGAATCAGCCAGAAAGAGAGATAGAGAGAGAGAAGGAAGGACACGGGTACCCAGGTCTCTGATGGAGCAAGGGTGCTTTATTGAATTCTGTGTGAATATATATACTGTATTACAAGGTAGCTTCTTCAGATAAAGGTCAAAAGACCTGACTTTACAAGTTACCAAGGAAACAAGGAGCAATAGAGGCCATAAGGCCAAAAAGCAATCCCTATCAAAAGAGGGTCGTAAATAATCCCTTTCACCAAATGGAAAAGCTAATGAAGGAAATCCTATGCAAGCATCCCATCTCCATGATCTCAGTCCTGGGATCTCGCCACTCCTCTCGCTGCTCTCAGGAGCTGATAAGGAACAGAGGGTTCAAGAGAGAGAGAAAACAGCACACAGGAATCCTCCTGTTAAATATTCCCGGACACAGAATTTTTTTTAAAATTGTTGGTATTTCAATACATAACTCTCCAAAATACAAATAACTTGTAATACCACACTTGGTGCTTGCTTCTGTGGAATTGCCACACTGTATTCTAATTATATTTCCGTCTTCCCCTCTGGAATTAATGCCTGAGAACAAGGATTGCACTGAGAACAGTGCAAATTTGTATCTACAGTATGGTACAGGAAACAGTTACTCAGTAACTGTTTCTATTTTTATTACTAATTATTTCCCAAGAGAGAATTTCAAGATACTTAAGTAATTCACAAAATCTTAACTTTTATACCACTTATTCTTTAATGTTTCTCTGAGTCTCAGCTTTCAGCAGCCCTTGCAGTCCAGTCCTCTCTTTCTATCAGTTTGATGTCCTTTGGTATCACTTTCTTCCACCAAGAATTATTTTACACTCTTTCAAGGAACCAGAGAATTTCTGCTTTCTCCTTTCTGCTCCACACCAAAACTCTGCTCTCAAGAGCCTCCATTTATGGCAGCGTGATACTACAGAGCTAGATGGTGGTTCAGTACTTCACCCTCCTTTTCACAGAGGAGAGAGGCCGAGAGAGGGTAATCAACTGCCCAGGATTGTACAGTTACTTATGAAGAGACAGGATTTGAACTCAGACCTCTTAATGTCCAAGTGAGCACTCTAACATATGATGTGACTTTGTATTAATATTAATATGCATTAATAGCCTAAAATAGAACTCCATTTTCAGATATTTGCCTTCTCTCAAGGTCAGAAATCGAGCTAAAATAATAACATGGAACTTTATTTTCAATATGATGCTGAGGGTGTCATAGAGCTCTTCTGAGGTTCCTAAAATTGTAACATACAGCTGCCTCCATGTCAGCCTTACATCACACAGGAAATAACACATTTAGTTAAGAGAAGTAAGGATAACATCATCGGCATCTGCAATGTGCCACACACTGTGTTATACATTTTCTGTATGGAATTTCATCTCGTCTATAAGATAAATCAATGAGGTAGCTATTATTATCTCTTATTTATATTCATAAATGTATATGTTTAGTTTATAATATTTTATATAATTTATAAATAAGGTAGAAAAGTGGAGTATATATTTCTCATGCTTGGTGGCTGTCTTTGGAAACATTTCCTACATTAGAGTAATTTCCCACTTTATGAATCCAGACTCTCTGAGGCAGAGTCCAAGCTCCCTTGCCCAGCACCTTTGCAGCTTGAGTGCAGGCTCTCCCAACCAGGCTTACTCACACAGGTCTCAGTCGCAAGTGCTGTGCTGAATCCATTTTTCTGGCTTGGATGATGAAGAGAAGTCTGGTCTTCGATGGCAGAAATGACGGCGAGTCTTGTATGTAACGTCCTTCATCTACAGCCCCATTGGTAGCAGCACTGAGGTCTGGCTGAGGCAATCCTGCTTAGTGGTTTTGGTGTTGTTACTGGCTGGGGAGGCTCCAGATCTGACTGATTCTCCTACAGACTCCACAGATGATTTAATATTCCTTAGTAAATTCTTAAATTAGCTGAAGTGGCTTCTGTGGTTGGCAAATAAGATCCCAGTCAACAAATCAAAACCACAGTGAGATACACCTCAGTTCCATTAGGATGAGGACTATGAAAGAAAGAGAGTGAGAGAGAGAGTGAGAGAGAGAGAAAAGGGAGAGAGTGAGAGAAAGGAAGAGAGAGAGAGAGAAAGGAAAAGAGACCGAAAGGGAGAAAAGGGAAAGAGGGGGAGGGAGGGGGGGAGGGGAAGGAAAAGAAGTCTTGGCAGGATGTGGAAAAATGGGAACCCAGTGCATTGTTGGTGGGACTATAAAATGGTAGAGTTGCTGTGAAAAACAGTATGGTGGTTCCTCAAGAAATTAAAAATATAATTACCATATGGCCCAGCAAACCTACCTCTGAGTATATACCAAAAAGATTGAAAGCAGGGTCCTGAAGAGATATCTGTACACCTGTATTCGTAGTAGAATTATTCACAGTAGCTAAAGTGTGAAAAGTACCTAGGGTGGTCAAAATCATAGAGACAGAAAGAAGCATGGTGGTTGCCAGGGGCTGGCAAGGGGATAATAGGAACTTGTTCTTTAACGGGTACAGAGTGTCCATTTTGCAAGATGAAAAGGGTTCTGAGATGGATGGTGGTGATGGCTGTACAACACTAAGTTGAAAGCACTTAGTTCCACGGAACTGTCCACTTACAACTGGTTAAGATGGTGTGTTATGTACATTTTACTACAATTAAAAAAAAAAAGGTTGACAGTACCAAGTGCTCGCATGGATCTGGAGCAACTGGAATTCTCACATATTCCTCAGAGGAATGCCAAATGGTACAGTCATTTTGAAAAACCATATGGTAGTATCTCAAAATGTTAAACATACATTTACCATACAATCCAGCTGTTCCAATTCTAGGTAGTATTTATGCAAGAGAAATGAACACATATGCCCTCAGAAAAAGTTATTCACAACTGGGGGTCAGGGATGGAGGAAAGGGCAAACACGAGGGATACTTGTGGTGACAGAACTGTAGCTTGACTTGATCAATGTGAATATCCAGTTTACTGTATTATAGTTTTGCAAGAGGTTATTATTGGAGGAAACTGGGGGGAAAATTTTATGAGATCTCTGTTATTTCGTACAACTGCATGTGAAACTACAATTATCTGAAATTAGAAAGGCTAATTGAAAAGAAACTTCAAAAAAAATCCCAGACCAATACACTAAGTAATTTTCCTGGTTTCACACAACCAAAAAAGCATAGAACCTAGAGATGAGCCAGGTCTGGTTCGTCCTGGTTCATCACATGCTCCTTTCTTAGAGATCACCCCAAGGGCAGCATAATATGGTGGGAAGAGTGTGCTCTGCCATTGGGAAGTACTTGGCTTCCTAAGTGGAAATCCCTAGGAATGTTGCTTAGTTCTCTGAGTGAAGAAAAAAAAAATGTTTTTCCTTGATTGGCAAGTGGTGAGTGAGTCTAAATTTACATATGTTTTCAATATTGAATACAGTTTAATGTAAATGAAATTCCCACCTGAAAACAGTACACAGAGATTATTAGTATCATAACAGTAATAATTAAAGCCAGCATGGTTATGGCTTTCATTTAATATTCACAGCTTTAAGAAGTATCTGACTTCTATGTGGCAGATGACACAAATGAAGCCTAAGGAAGTTGAGTAACTTGCCTCACAGATGGTTCATAGTACAGCTGGATTTGATCCCAGGCAGTCTGGCTCCAGAGTTCATGCTCTTACTGGGAGCATCAAGTCAGATGATATTGTAGAAAAATTAATATACTGCTGCTTGAGGGGAAAGATTTCTTATCATTTAGAGGGGATATTGGTTAATTCATCTTTTTTACAAGGATTTACACATGGATTCATTTTAGATGCCTCACCATAATATCTCACTACTAATATTTGACAATGAGCCATTCTTATGAAAGCTATTTACAAGAAAAGGACTTCCCCATGTGGGTCGTAACTATGATCTTCATTTAATCCTTGACATGCATGCAGTTTAAAGGTGACTTTATGAAACAATTCAGATCTTTTGGATCAATAAAATTGATTTTTATTCAATTTTTATTCAAAAATTCAAAGGTTGACATGGAAAATGTATCCAGGGTGCCAGAGGTTTGTTTGTACAAAGAGTTATTTAGACATTGATGAGTAAGCATCATAAAGTTTCTATAGAGAAGGGAGAGTTGAGAAGACTAAGAGTATTAACCCCATTCAAGAAACATATTCATTTCTAAAAGAAGCTGTGTGAAAAGAGTCTCACTTTAAGAATATTTTTTAAATGCAAATAGTTTCTACTTCCTGCCCCCTTCCTCCACCTGGTCTCAGTCATGAATATTTGTTTTGATACTGGGTTTTCTTAAGGCAGATTTACATTTCTTTAAACATGTCGTTAGAGCTATCTAATTAGAATCCACAGTATGATGGATAGGATACAACTCAGAATTGAGACCCAGGTTCTAGGACTGTTTGTTATCTAGAACAGATTTGGTTTTTGACTATGGAAAAAGTCATTTAGAGTTTCTGTAGCTGTTTCCTCAAATGCTGGATGTGCCCGCTCTCCACAGAACCTGGTGAAGTGTTCTGAGAAGCAAAAAGTACAATGCGAATTCCAGCCTCCAAGTTCTCATATCTCCTTTCCTCCAGGGAAGACCGCTCGCCAGGAGAGGCAGGCGAGTGGCTGTGAGCGTTGAGACAGTGTTTGATCTCCAGGAAGTCTCCTCTCAGCCTCCAGAACCCAATGTGGTGTCTGACCCAGGTCAGCCCCCAGTACAAGTCTGCTTCCCAAACAGCTATTTCTGTGTCACAGCTTTAAGTTGCGGTTCAGAAAGCAATTAATATTCTTTCTTATTTATTGTCTCATAAATTTTTTTGAAATTTACCTTTTTCCTAGAATATAATGTTTCAAAAATCATGTAAACCCAGAAATGTCCACAGATTGCCTATAATTAAGTGTGGTTAGCAGTCATCTGTCCAAAGTGGCAAAGAGATGTATGCCTTGCAACCTGGAGACTCAGTCCCTGAAGAAGTCTCACTTATATGTTATCTTACCCGCTGGTGGCCCAGAGCCAAACACATAAACCCTCCAGGGTTTCATGTTAATATTGCTGAGCTCTCTCGGAATTTGAGTTCATTGGCAAAGTACTGGTGGTTATTTTAAAATCTGAAAATGCAAAAAAGTATTGACATTGTAGACTCAGAAACAAAGAAAGTTTTCAGAAGAAGAGGTGCTTTAACAGAATGGTTTATCATATATTAAATGCAGTGAGTATTTAAATACACACAAAATAACTAAGGTTATGTTGATTAGGGATGAAAACATTTTATTCTATTGTTGGTTGTGCCTATATAGAAAGTCAAGAATGATAGGATTTTATTTTATTTAAATTGATTTTCCAGCATTTATACTGATTCTCCTTTGCTATCTCCAGATAAAAGGGAAAGTTATTCACCTACCTGGTTTTGTAATGTTTAAGCAGTGATTGGTCAGGAAGAACTGGCTGACACCTGGCTTCTCTTTAGGTTGTTCACAAGATGTTCTTGTGTTCACAAGTTGTAACTCCATTTTCCAGTGCCAGAGAGTGAGCTCTGAAAACAGATAAGAGTTGGGTTTGAAATCTGCCATCACCCCTGGATAGCTGGGTGGCTTCGTCTATGTGGACCAATCTCTCAGAGCCTCAGCATCTTCTTTAGTAAAATGGCGTATTCATGGTTAATAATTCTGACCAATTAACAAATCCAATCACAGAAGACTATTCTAAAGATTAGAGATAATGTGAATATTGAGCCTGAAACAGCAGTACCCCTAAAGGATAGTTTTTAGGGAAAGTTTAGTTTTTGACTTTCTTGTATGTGCCCGGAAACCATCTCTAAATCCACGTAAAGCAGAGAAAGTAAGTTCAAAGTTCCTCAAGTGGCTGTACCATGTCATTTGAAGATCACAGTGACTAAGCTCCCTTTCCCTTACAGGAAACATAAGTGAGGAGGAAAAAGCTTGAAGCATTGCCCTGGTTTTGGCTCTCAGATGAGGCCTCAGCATTCTGCTTAACTTCACCAAGGTCTGCTCTTCAGAATTGAGAGCTACACACAGAGGAAGTTGCTAAGCCACTGTGATAAGGAAGCATAATGACAAGACTTACCTTCCTGGCAACTTTGAAAAAAGAAAGGTTTTTAACCTTGCATAAGTACTTGTGTCAACTCCCAATGTCCTATATATTAACTCAAGAATCCTGACAACCACTCCTATTGTTTGAGGTGTATTTGCAAAAGGGTTAGGAGCAAAGGTTCTGGAGTCAGATTGCCTTCATTCTAATCCTCACATCACAACTCACTAGTTTTGTGTCCTGAAACATAAGACTTATCCATTCTGAAACTCACTTTCCTCACCTGAAACCCAGGATAATATTGATGCTCATCTCCTAGGGCTGTTGGAAGGCTCATTCACAATCTTAGCACAATGCCTGCCACGAAGTAAGTACTAGTTAAGTAAGTATTGCTGTTGTTGTTTGGCCAATAGTAATTATCTTGCACAAAATCAAACACCAGTAAGAAGGTAGAAATCCTGGTCTTCTGACTCCAAATCCCAGGCTTTTTCTTTTACCATGCATTACTCTACTGAATGTTTATTGCTTCGTTAAATGATTAAAATACCACAGTACTATTTGTGTTATCCATTGACACTGAAGTATTCTCTCTAATTATGCAGTGCAAATCAAAGATCGCTATAAATAGAAAATAATAATGTTGTTTCACTGTTCTTTGCACTTGCTTGAGAAAAAGAACTCACATATCACACTATGTCTTACCCTCCCAGAAACCCTGCTTCCTGGGAGTTATAATTCTTTGATGTGTGTGCTCAGTCGTGTCCAGCTCTTTGTGACCCTATGGACTGTAGCCTGCCAGGCTCCCCAGGCCCCTCTTCTGGGACTTTTCAGGCAAGAAACTGGAGTGGGTTGCCGTTTCCTACTCCAGGGGATCTTCCCAACCCAGGGATCGAACCCACATAGACAGGTGGATTCTTTACTACTGCGCCATCTGAGAAGTTATAATTCTTCAATATCAAAACCAATTTCAATCTTGCCAGCTGAAAGGACTGACTGCAATTTGACAGTGTAGAGGTCATATTATCCCTCCATTTTGGGCCAAATGGTGGCATCAACTGTTTGTCTCCCTTTCACAGTTGTTCTCTTGTATTTTGCTCCAACTTCCTCCAAATACAATAGCTGGTATAGCTGCAGATCCAACCAGCTTTCTGGTTCACTGCTTAGTTAGGCTTAAATAACTGTATGCTTGTTCCCTACTTCACTTCTGGGCTTGGCAACACTCCAGGCTCCTTGGGTACTGAACCTTGTGAAGTCCGTAAATTAATTTTCCAGACTAGCCTGGAATGAACTTCAGACAGGGTACCTCTGGAGAAATTCACATTAACTTTTTCCACCTCATTTAAAAATAATTTTTCAAATTGTCAAATAGAAACATTCACCAACACAGACCATATTCTGGGCCTTAAAACAAACCTCAACACATTTCAAAGAATTTAAATCACACAAAAGGATTTCTATGAAAGCAACCAAATTAAACTAGAAATCAACAGCAGAAAGACATTTGGAAAATCTCTTAAAAAAAAAAAAAACGGTTGGAAATTAAACAACACAGTTCAAAATAACCCATGGATCAAATAGGAAGTCATGAGGGGAATTATAAAATATCTTGAGCTGAATGAAAATGAAACTACAACATATTAAGATGCCAGGGATGCATATAAAGTCTTGCTTAGAGGAAAAATTATGGCATTAAAGGCTATATTAGAAAAGAAAGATCTAAAATTAGTGATTTAAGCTTTCATCTTAGAAAACTAGAAAAAGCAGCTAAAAGCAAAGCAAGGAGAAGGAAGAAAATAATAAAAGAGATGAAATCAATGAAATTGCAAGAGAATAGAAGTCAATTAAATCAAAAGCTGTTTCTTTTTAAAAATCAATAAAACTGATAAGCCTTTGTCAAACTGATCAGGAATAAGAAGGGGAAAAAAAACCCTCAAATTACTAATATAAAAAATGACAAGAACTTCCCTGGTGGCCCAATGGTTAGGATGCTGAGTTTCCATTGCATGAGGCAGTTGTTCAATTATTGGTCAGGGAATTAAGATCCCTCATACTTCAAGCCATGGTCAAGAAATAGAAAAAAAAAATTTGTAATTACAGAGAGAACACTACTTATAAAGGATAATAATGTAATGCTATTATATAAGAACAACTTTATGCCCATAAATTCAAATATCTAGATGAAACAGACAAATTCCTTGAAAGACACAAACTCTCAAAGCTCACTCAAGAAGAAACAGATATCCTGAACGATGCATGCTAAGTTGCTCAGTCATGTTCGACTCTTGCGGCCTTTTGAACTGTTGCCCACCAAGTTCCTCTGTCCATGGGATTCTCTAGGCAAGATTACTGAAATGAGTTGCCATGCCCTCCTCCAGGGGATCTTGCTGACCCAAGGATCAAACTCTCTTCTGAATAGTACTATATTTTAATAAGGAAGTAAAATTTGTAATGAAAAACATTTCAACAATGAAAATTCCAGGTGACTCTACTAGCAAATTCTACCAAACGTTTAAGAGCTAAATAATACCAATTTAATATAAACTTCTCCATAAGACAAAGAAACACTTGCCGACTTATTTTATAAGATCAGAATTACCTTGATACCCAAACAGACAAAAACATGAAAATAAAATGACAGATATCTCTCAGAAACAAGGAAAAAATTCTTAATAAAATATTATTAGTAAACTCCAGGAATGCATCAAGGTGATAGAACACTATAACCAAGCTTGTTTTATCCCAGGAACATAAGGTTGATTCAACATTTTAAAATCAAAGCAATTCACTATATCAAGAGACTAAGCAAGAAAAATCATATTATTATTTCAATAGATGCAGAAAAGTATTTGACAGAATTCACCATACATTATTAAAACAAAACAAACAAAAAACACCTTTCAGCCGATTACAATTAAAAACTTTTTCCCAGTCTGATAAATAGCTTCTCTGTTAGTTCTTTACTGCTGTGTAACAACCCCCAAACATATATACCAAACAACTATTGTCTCACAGTTTCTGGAGGTTAGGAATCTGGGTATGACTTAGCTGGTGCCTCTAAACCAAAGCCTCTCACAAAAGCGAACTTACATTGTCTGCTGGGGCTACAATGTCATCTGTAGGCTTACTGGAGTGGGGATGGCGGTAGGGAGATCCACTTCCAAGCTCATTCACAAGATGGTTGGCAGGATCCAGTTCCTCACAGAATGCTGGATTGAGTGCCTACTGTCTTCTTGGCTGTTGGTCTCCTCAATTCCTTGCCATAGGGCAGTTCACAAGATGGCACCTGGATTCCCTCAGAGGAAGTGAGTGAGAGAGTACAGGAGAAAACTCAAGGCAGAAGTCATAGTCTGTTTGTAACCTGATCTCAGAAATGATATGCCATTACTTTAAACATATTTTATTCCTTAGAAGCGAGTCACCAGGTCAAGCCTACACTGAATGGAAGGGCATGAATACCATGAGGCAGAGATCATTGAAGGCCATCTTAGAGACTGCCTACAAGGAAATCTAGTTAGTGCAAGATACTTAGTGGTGCAAGACTGAATGTTTTCATCCTAAGATCAGTAGTAGGCACATATGCTCTCATCACTCCTATTTGATATCACATTGGAGGATGTACTAAGTGCAATAAGGCAAGGAAAAGAAATAAGAAGCATACCACTTAGGAAGAACAAAAACTGTCCCTATTTGGAGATGACATGATTGTCTACAAAGAAAACCTCAAGGAATTTACAAAAGCCTTCTGGAACTTTTAAGTGAGAAAACAGATGACAAATTAGCTTATGAAAAACTGCTCAATGTCAGTCATTAGGGAAATGCAAATTAAAACCACAAGAGACCATTACCCATCTTTTAGAATGACTGAATCAAAAGAAGTGAATACCAAGTGTTGGCAAAAATTGGGACATTGCTGGCAGGAATGTAAAATGGTACAGTCACTTTGGAAAACATTTTGGCAGTCACTTACAGTAATATATACTTAACATATGACCCAGCAGTACTCCTCCTATGCATTATTTTCTCAAGAGAAGTAAAAACATATGTTCACACAAAAGACCATACACTAATATTTATAGTGGTTTGGTTTATAACCACCAAAACTGGAAACAACTCAAATGTTCAGTTGGGAATGGATAAACAATATCCATACAATGGACTACTACTCAGTAATAAAAAGGAAGGAACTAGTGATAAATGCAACAACATGGATGAATCTCAAATATATTAAGTGAAAGAAGCTTAACCTCAAAAGGCTGTATAATGTATAATTCCATTTATATGACATGCTGGAAGAGGCATAACTATAGAGACAGAAAACACAATTTGCAAACAATTTTTGGGGGGTTCACAGACCACCTCTAGCCCATCCCTGGACCCCATCCATATGCCTCTCCATTTTCAAGGCAACCTCCTATCTCTCTCCTCCTAACTGCAGCTCCTTCCTGAACCCTATCCAGATTTACATTTAGTGGCATTCTGCTTGGCACAGAAATGGTCCCCATTTCATAGACAGCATGAAAATATTCTCTCTTCAGCTAGTGCTTCCAGGGCAACATCCATCTTGATCCTGGGCATATGGAATGGAAAAGATGATAAAGTACAGAGGCAATCTGCCCAGTGGCAAGTTACCATATTTTGAGATTTCCCCCAGGTCCATTCATTTTCCATCACTGTGCTCAGACCAGAGCGAGTAGGAGCCGGTTAGGAGAAGGATGTAAATAAGGAATGTAAGACAAGGCAGGCTCTGTGAGCCTTCATCTCCCAAGTTATAAGCCCAGCTCTAGTGAAACCATCCTCCCCACCCCCACCGCCCTGCAAGCTTGTGGGATGTAGACTGTTTCAGTCATCATACTGTCACCATTCTTCCACTTTTCCTTGATCCCTTTCTCTCACTCATTCATTCGTCATCAGCTGCTACAGCACAGACCAGGACAGACACAGAGGCTGCCCTCAAGGCGTTTACAGTCCCGTAATAGGAGGTCACAATTATCACCCCGTGTGGTACAGGCTGCGAGGGAAGTGGGAATGGGGAGTGGGGCGTGGAGGGGGGCGGCTCCCAGCGCAGGCGTCTTTGCAGCAGACTGCCAGAGCTGCGTTTTCCACGACCTGCTGGAGTTTGCAATCTTGCAGGCCTCCTCTCCCGGGGCAGAAGGCCACGCACAGCTCCTCTCGGGTCCCGAGAGCCGCCCACCCGGGCCTCTCGCCGCACCTAGGACGGCGGCTGGGTCCGGGAGGGACGCCTGTGGGCGCGGCGGCCCCGCCCTGGCCAGCCCGGGGCGGAGGCCGGTTCCCATAGGGATCGCGGGCCGACCGGCTGCGACAGAGCGGGGCCAGAGTCGGCGAGGCTGGAGCGAGGCCGGCGAGGCAGCCGCGGCGCCGTGAGTCCCGGGCGGGGAGGGGGGCCGCCACGTGGCGCCGCTTGAGGCTGCGCTGTGCGGGCCAGAGCGCGGGTGGGAAGCGGGGGCGGCGTAGGAGGGTCTCCCCTTGCCCCGCGCGGCGGCAGGATGGCGTAGCCCTGCTCCCTGCGGGGCTCCGGGCCCTACCTCGCGAGGCTCTCCCCTCCCGCCCCGCCCCGCCGCCGCCCCGGCGGGGAGCCGGGAGGTGTCTTCTTGCCGAAAGGAAAGGAGACCCGATATTAGAACCGGGGAAGCCCTTAACCTTCCAGGTCCTCCAGCCAGCTCATGTGTCTTAGATCGGATGAACCTGACATTGAAAAGATAGTCTTACAACTCGGCTCGTTTTAGGATGACCGGTTACATTTTAACTTTCAGGGTATACAACAGAGGATTAAACTTGAGTTACCAAAGGCAGCTGACTCCAGGCTGTCGTCTTTGACCGAGTGGCCACGGCTGAGCGGCGAGGATTAAGGGACTGGGTCGATTCCTAATTGTGTAACAGTCTTCTGTCTTAGGTCCTTGACAAAGACCCATCGTTGACTGGGGCTGTTCATGCCAATATTTACTAAGCGACATTTTCAAATTATGTGAAGATCCATTTTAAGAAGATTTATTCATCAGTGATGGAGAAGTATGAAAAAATTGGGAAAATTGGTGAAGGATCCTATGGAGTTGTTTTCAAATGCCGAAACAGGGACACAGGTCAGATTGTGGCCATCAAGAGGTTTCTGGAATCAGAAGATGACCCTGTCATAAAGAAAATCGCCCTTCGAGAAATCCGCATGCTCAAGGTAATTTCTTTAAGGTGAATTTTCAAGAACTAAAAAATAAATAAATAAAGCCAGTCATGTTATATGAAATAAATGCCTTGAGATGTGGTCACATCTTCCTTCATAGACTTTGGTTCTTGATGATACAGATGGGGTGTCACCAATTGTATAATGAATTAGAAAGTGGAGTCATAGGTGTGGGGAAAGATGGTGTTCACTTTCAGACTTGATATTTTATTTTTCTTCCCGGTAGCTTCTTTCACATGTCACCTGTAGTTCTGGTTCCTCAAGAGTCATCAACTTTAACAGCACAGGAACTTTCCACAACTCCAGTCTGCTGGTGTGCATGATTTTTAAACTTCTAGGCTAGCGTCTGTTGATAGTCTGTGAAGAGAATTAATCATTCACCTGTTTTCAAACTCCCAGGAAGCTGACAGGTTCTCATTACACCTTGCATTGATCTACTGCTGAGCTTCATAATGTCTTTGTCTTGTCTCTAGAAGAAGGATTTTTCTGTACATGAAATGATCGCTTTAAAAATGTTCACTAGTTAGCTATTCGAGACCATGATACTTGGAGGGGGTGAGTGTTTATTACAAGCTGAAAGCATCTTTTTCCTGAAATGGAAATGAAGAAGGAAAGTATTTTTCCTTCATTTTTTTCTTTCTGTGAAGATGAACTCCAAATCCTGCCCTGTGTAGAATGCGACCTGCAGTGAGCACAGTGAAGGTTAACTTTCAACAGATTAACTTTCTCTGTTGGGGCTGGTTTTAAACAGGACCTCTGTGTTCTGACAAGTGTAACTGACTATCCAACAAGGGATGAGCATCCTCGTGGGGGCTGAGTGGAATATCTGGGGAGTCTCCTCTTATCTCTGCTTCTCCCTTTTCTCCAGGGCTCTCTAAATTCTTCTCCCCTGTGAATTAAGTGGGTGGGATTATCTCTGGACCCCAAATAGGAAGTAGCAGGCTTCAGGTAAATTAAAACGGGTGGATAACAGGAAAACTTTCTCTATTTAGGTCTGGGACATTTTTACCAGCAGAATGTTTTCAGTTCGAGAAGACACTTCTGAAGGCCCCGTGCAATGCTCCCTAGGGCAGAGTGAGACAACAGTGTTTGCCCATCACCCTGGACTCCCTGCCCTCATGCCTCTCTACACAGGGAGAAAGTCTCACGGTTTCTCTGGGGCCCATGGGCTTTTTTCACTTTCTCAGGCTTTCCCTCGAGGAGAAGGTGATCACTGAATTTCAAAGGGGTTCATTTACTCCAAAGAAAAGCCCGTCTGTTTCTAGTGGAGAGATACTCTTTTTCTGATTCTGAAGGTCACCCACAGGTGCCTCTCTGAAGCCTCTCACTATTCTTTAACAATACGGTGTTTACAAGTTTCATCTCTGAATTAATTCACTTTCTTCTGGATGGGGGCCTCGCCTTGGGTCTCTGTGTCAACCACTTAGGATGTAATGCACCTCCAATAAATGTCATTGTTGAATTGAAAAAGAGATGTTAAAATAAGCTTCTAGAAACTGTAGGTTGGGACTTCGCTGGTAGTCCAGTGATTCAGGCTCTGTGCTTCCACTGCAGGAGTCGGGGGTTCGATTCCTGGCCTGGGAACTAAGGTCCCATATGCCCTATGGCACAACTGAAAAAGAAAGGGTAGGTGTTGCCAATAAATTAGGAAGTCAGATGTGTTTTCTTGAAAAACTGAATACTGATGTCCTCTGAAGGATAGGTGTGTATGCAGGACCGTGATTTCAAGGCACACAACACTCCATTCCCCAAAATCAAGGGCATGGCTGTAGACTCCTCTGGTCTCTATGAGGTGATGGGACTAGATTATCAGTAGAGCCTGTCCCTTCAAGCCCTAACTTGTCTGAATTCTTGATATTCCTAACACATAATGGGTGCTTAAATATTTGCTGAATAAATGAATTGGGGGTTTGTTAAATCAAGTCATATTTTCCCATATATTTATTCAGTAAATATCTATGGGGCCCCATTATACCTAAAATAATGTTTCCATTAAAGTGTCCATGCTGTCTTACAGATGTTTAACTGGTGGGAGATGAATTCTCCGTCAGCTGTCACTTCCAGTAGACTGGGTTCCTAATGGGCAGGGTCTGTGTCATTCACCTTGTGTTCCCATGCCTGGCATGAGCTCTCTAAATACAGTGTTTGGAGGCCTGCTTGAACTAGACTTTGAAATGTTTAGGGATGCATGGAATGAAAGATAAGGTGTTCAGGGCAGACAGTCTCTGCTAGGGAGAAAAAAAAAAGTGCATAGTGTAAAGCATTATATGGAGGGAACACAGGTAATAACCCCAAAGTCTTAGCCAAGATTCCTGCTGGGTGCTAACAGGCCTGGGAGAAAAGAGAAGGAAAGGAAGCCAGTGTCCATTAAGAAGGGGTGCAAGGAATTTCCTGGAATACAAGTCTGGCCTTGGGATAAGTGATGGTTTGCACATCCATGCACTTGGGTTCCAGGTGGCTTTGGGGTTTGGAACCTGCCTTGGGGACACGTTGTGTCCATGAAAACAGAAAACTGGTGAGGTCTAGGCTCGTGTTTAGGGCCCCATCTGAGTTATATTCAAGGCATTGCCCCATTGCCCATGGACGGGGAATACTAAACTGGGAACCACGCATCGTTCTGTGAACTCAAGGGCTCACTGAGTGTGCATTCCTAGGGTTTTCCCTGCATACCCCTCCCAGAGTTGAGGCTGTTAATGACCTTTGCTAAGGTCTGGAACTAGGACGACTGAGGCTAGAGGTATCTTAGTGACCTTAGCGGGTGAGATTGGTCAAGGGCCGAAGCCCAGACTGCCCTTATTGTGATAAGAAAAGTAAAAAAAGCAGATTAAGACCATATATAGAAGGCTTCAAATGCCAGGCTGAAGAATTTGGCTTTCACCTGGAAAGAGGGAAACCAGCTAAGATTTTTTCAATAGAAAGTTATCATTTGCAGACTTTTAAATTTCATGAATCAATAAACTTCAAAAAAAATTTTTTTTTTTACAGATTGGGTGGTCAACATTTGAAGAAACTAGTTGATCACCATTACTTCATAAACAAAAGGACATTTTAATATTTTTTAAAAACTAGGAAAGATATAACTTCAGGAAAAAGCAGTCTTCCTGAGAGAGTAGTTGACAACTAAGACAACATCTCTCTGTATATACATTTCTCTGGTGTGTGAGAGTATACAAGTGTAACAGTGTATGAGAGAGAGAGAGAGATCATTGCCCCTATTTTTCCCATTTCACTATCCATTGATGAAAATATAGACTTCATTTGTTTTGTGCAGCCTAAATGTCACAAAAGTTAGTACTATGTCTGAGAACAAAACTCCCTGGATCAGATGATGTCTTACTTTTATGATCTATCTGATACAACAAAATTCTAATACTACAAAAGAAATGAATGGTCCCTTGGATTTTATATTATAGTAAAATTTGACATGTATATATCCTCAGAGAATTACTTGTATGTTTTTAAAACCATTTATTTTAATGACTTAAAGCAACTCCTAGTAATTGCTATTGGACTCTTTTAAAAATTACAGTTGTTTCCATTAAGCAGATAAGATCATGGGAGTGAACTGTCCAGCAGTCAATTGCTTAATTATTAAGGCAACACATCGACAGTGTTTCCTGTTCTTGATGTGAAAGCATATATGAAGAAGTAACCATCCATTTGTAAATGGTTTTAAGGGTGAAAATTATTATCAAGAAACCTATTTTGCTAATATTTCTAGAAAACATATTTTTCTGAACATTTGAAACACTTTTCAAATAGCGTTACTTCATGCTATTTGGGGAGAAAAAGTATGACATGTTTTTATGAGATAAATTCAGTATTTGTACTCATAATTTGCTTTCTAAATGTAATCCACTCTTCACCAAGAAGTCCTATTGCAGTCAACCCTTTAATATTTTCATTTTGAATCTTATTTTTTCCAGGTTACATAATTAGCCTTTCAGAAAAATTAAACAATGGCTCCAGTTAAAATTAGTCAGCCCAGGGACTTCTCTGGTGGTCCAGTGATGAAGAATCCACCTTGCAATGCAGGGGATTGAGCTTTTGATGCCTGGTCAGGGAACTAAGATCTCACATGCTGAGGAGCTTGTAAGCCGGGGTGCCACAACTAGAGAATCCATGCGCCTCACGGAAAGATTCCATATGACACAATGAAGGTCTGGTGTGCTGCAACTAAGACTTGATGCAGCCAAATAAATACGTAAACTAAAGTAGTCAGCTCATACTCTAAAAACAACAGTGACAGAAATAAAATTATACTGCAGTACCTGAGCACAAAGCAACTATCCCACCCTTTCTCAAACTCACTTTCCACTGTGGAAAAAAAAAGGAAGAAGTCAATATTTTCAGTCAATGTTTTTTCGTTTGTTTATTTTTTGGTATTTATTTATTTATCTGGCTGCACTGGGTCTTAGCTGCAGCATGTGAGACCTTTTAGTTGCGGCATATGAACTCTTAGTTGTGGCATGTAGGATCTAGTTCCCTGACCAGGGATTGAACTCAGGCTCCCTGCATTGGGAACATGGAGTCTTAGCCACTGGACAACCACGTAAGTCCCTCAGTCAATGGTTTTTATGAGACACCTGTGTGTAAGACAGTTGACATGTGTTCATTTGGCATGAACACAAGAGTTTCTACCGAACTCCTGCCATGTCCCAGGCACTGTTCTAGATGTCTGTCCTCACAAATGAGAGACTAACAGTAAACAAATATGTCACGTGGTAAAAAATGAAGCCGGGTAAGGGGGTAAGGTGAGGGAAGGGCTTGCTTTTTTATGCAGAGTGGTTAGGGAAAGCCTTCCCGATGAGTGACATTTGAAGACATTCCAGAGGAGATGTGAAGGGGTGACTCTTGCCGCTCTTCAGGGGGAGAACCTTCTAGGCAGGTGGAGGATAGGACAGGGGCCCCAAGGGGAGATCACATGATGCGTCCTCGGTGTGTTCTGGCGTGTTGTAGAAGGAGCAGAGAGAAGAGTGTGCCTGAAACAGGGT